GTACCAGATAACCGTAAATAAATAACGATGGCCTTTTACAAAGCTCAAGTCTTCAATTTATTTCATTTGCTGATTACAAACTCGCTTTGGTTTACTTGCAAAGCAACTTAGTAGCTTGTTACAATAACGCTACCAGTATTTCCGATTAGTCTTTGGACGATACTTTATTAACACCCACTAGTTAACCAACGTTAGTCTAACCTTTGCTTACCCATTAAAGAAAATCACGATACTAATTGTTGTTAACACTCACTAGTTAATCAACGTTAGTCCCTAACCTTGCTTGTTCACCAAGCAAATAAAACGCGTCTTTTTACCAAAGCTCCATAATTGTTACTTTTTACCAAGGCACTAACTACACTTGTTGCTTTTATCAAAGCGCTTTAAACAAGAAATAAAAACAACGGTTTTATTTTCCTCTGCGAGAACCGAGGTTATGCTCTTTCAAGCGAAGACCAGAAATTATCTTGACAAAATTTTCATTGATCACTACAATAAAGATAAAGATAGGTTTATTATTCTAAGGTAACTTAATCAATCAATATTGATACTATAAAAAGCTCTTCGCGTAGAATTTTCATTTGATAACAATTACACACTAAAATTAGTTGATCCACCACGATCATGTTCGAGCTTAGTATTAAATAAAACATGTGGGAACTGAATTTGTATTCAGCAAAAGAAAAACTTAGCTCCTTGTGAACAACTAATGAAACCAAGGAGAGATTGGGATACAAGAAAAGTATAAAAAAAAAAAGACCTTGGAATCCATATTTATAAGTTTTTTTGTGAGCTTTTATTTTTACTTATGTCATTTTTGACTGAATTTGACGTATAGCTTCAACATTTTGTCAAACAATATTACAAGTACACAAAACTTCCTTTTAAATAGAGATAAATTTCATGGATTTCTTGATTCGCATTATTAATTCGCATAATTATAAAAAACTAAGGTCCGCTTGTCATTTAATTTGACGACCACATACAATAGATTTTTCACTGTCCTTTACAATACACAACTCCCCGTTTTACCATAAAATGGTATTTGTTTGAACCCAACTTGAAGTTCAGAGAAATGTTTCATTACTAAGGTTATTATGATCGAAATCTTTTATTTTTTATTTTTTTTAATTTCATTCGTTTTGTGGTATTTTTCTTGATTTATTCTTGAATTACCAACTCATGTCTAGGTTTCCAAATATCATTGTATATGTTTGTGATAATTGTTTTCATTATTATATCAGTGATGTTTGTTACATGTGTAATTAATATGTTATTTCTGTTGATTTTGGAATTATTCCATTAGAAGTGATTTTTTTGCCTTAGAAGACAGAAAAGCCATGAAACAAAAGATAAATATAGGATAGGGATCAGATTTATGCAGCAATGGTTGTATGATTTCACCAAGAATATCATATTACTTGGATCAATTATTAGAAGAAAATGATACTGAAGGAGATTATGTTAATCAGCTAAATGAACCATTTAATCAACATGTGATGAACCAAATGGGACCTCTATAACATTCAAATTCTATCTTTATGATCTGTTATCTTTACAAATTTAGTGAACCAGTAAGAAGTATTTAAATTATAGTTGCTTTCCATAATTGTCTTTGGAGGAAAAGTGATTATGGCAATAATTATGGATTCTTAATGTTCTTTATATGAATGAATATAAAAATAACTATATATTAATATGTATTTGACTTATAGAGTTCAAATAATTACAGTTAATTATGGCAACAATGAATAATTAATTATGGAATCACAAATACAGTGATAATCATTGAAATTATGGCAAACAACTATAATTTAACACCTTGAATTCTTAAAATGACTTTTTGATAATAACATTGTAATAAAATCACACAATAAAACTATTGTTAATTGACAACATTTTGGCTTTTCACATTCCCTTATTGATTGATGTCCATAAAAAAACCATCCCGAGTTTTGACTATCAAATCAGAGAGCTCAAATAATTTTGGCCACTATTAAAATTCATTTTGGCTACTATGAAAAACTATTTTGGCACTTTGCATTTCGGCAACAATCATTTTTTAATGGAAGCAATTTTGGCTAACATGTATGATTGGCAAAGCTATTTTTGTTTATTTAAATAATTAATTATTGAACTATTGATTTTTTCAGGACTGGTTTAATTATTTTGATGAAATCATCCATTTCAAGGACATGATCCAGTTAAAACTACATTTATTAATAATTAAAATCCCAAGCCCAAACAATAAAATTTTATCTTAATTTAAAATAAATTTGAATTTTGATAGCTCAATTTCAGCTAAATTTTTGAAAAACAATATTTTAAAGCCTTTTTTCAATTAATAGTTTATCCTTTGATTGAAGTGGGTCTCCAAATCCAGTTTTCCACTAATTTATACACTTCTAATTTTTCTATCAAATAAATTTTTTTATTACTATTTATAAGATCCAAATCATCATAATAAGCATTTTGAGAATATTCATAATAACAATAAGGTTCATCATTAATACTGTTAACTAATGCTAGATAATAGTATTTCCATAAAAGTTCATATAATAAACATCTCCATCACTATGCCAAATCGCACATTCAGGGTTTTTGACTCTGCTTAATATTGAGTTATTTATTTGATTTTCATCAATTTTAAAAATAAAGCTTTTGTCTGTTTCAATAAAATAAATTTCATCTGAAGACATTTCTTTTATACTCCAACAAACTGGGTTATAGCCACCAACCAATTCTCCAGTTCCTTTTATTTTCATTATAGCCACAGTTTTGTTCTATATTATAGAATTTCTTTTCAAAAACAGACCTAGAAAATCCATCAAGAGACCCACGAAAAATTGATTTACATCGGTAAGGAACATCTTCATTATATAGTTCATTTTTTCCATCAATTCATTTAGAAATTAAACATTTCATTTGTAAATTTAATATTTTTCCAGTTTCTGCCCTTGAACCTTTATGAAGTGATAATCTTGGATTCCATTTATCACAAAGATAATATTGAAAAAGTTCTTCATACATTTCTTTAATAAAGACCTTTTCATAAGGTTTAATCTTTTCATAAAAATCAGTTGATGAAATTTCCTTGAATCTTATCAATGGAATAATATCTTTCAATATATTTTTCAACATGATAAAATCCTCCTTCTTCCACTTAAAAATGTCTTCAATTCTTCATCTTGGCTTATTCCCCATTGAACAACAATATCCCAAATCTCAATTTCTTTTAATTCTAAATCATCTCTTTCTATTATAGACATAAACATAGGTTTTTCAATATCTTTAAAATCTTCAACTTTTAAAAACAAGTCTGGACTATAAAACATCAACTCATCAAAATAATCGTTAAGTAAATTGAATGTATGGTGATTTAATGAAATTTGATAAATGTAAATTAAATTCTGTTATAACCATTCTTTTTTTTCAGTAATTAAATGATTTTGCAAGTCCTCAATTAATTCATCAATATTTAATTCATCACATGCTTCAAGAAGTTCAATAATTTCATCTGGATTCAACTTATTTGGATTAGCAATTCCATTGTAAATATATCTTTTAAAACAAAAACAAATAAATATAAAATACTAAGTCAAATCAAATTAAAATTATATTTATATTAAATTAAATTAAATAATTCTTACGTTAAAATAACTTCAAATACTTTTGGAGAAATATTTTTTTTTTCAAATAAAATAATACCATTTTCAGACCTTTTTAACCAATTATTAGATAAAGCAGCTTTAAAATATTGGGATCTTGCTCTTAAAATTGTAGAATGAGCTTTGAAAGTTTTAACATCCTCTTGTTCACCTCCAACTTTAATTTCTACATCATAAGAATCAGATTCATTTAATAATTTTGATAAATCATTCACAAGTTTATCAATATATTTTAATGTCAGAACATCTTTGTTAGAAATAATAAGGCTGTTAAACAGTAAGTTTATATTTTCTAAGGATGAAAAACTAGTTGGCATTTTTGATGTAAATTTTTTATTTTATTAAAAAAAAGTGTTTTTTTTTGCAATTATTACATTGCAGAAATTTCTACTGCATCATTGTCACAAATGCAAAATATTAGTAATTTACCAAATGATACCCTTCTGTGTTACCTATATTATTCATCATTTCTACTCGACGATTCTATAAAAATAACAACTCCTCAAGAAAATCCCCAATAAACTGAATTTGCAAATTCAAATTCTTGAAAGATTCAATTCATGCAAAATTTCCTATAACAAATAATGATAATAATGAATCAGTTATTATTATATATTATATATAACTGATTTAATAAAAGTTGTTTCCGAGTTGTTCATAAGCAATTACTGAACTGAAATGATTATAAACAATAACCGCTTAATTAATTCTATCCTCTCCTTTAATATGATGTCACATGCTTCAACACATGCACCAATTTGATTGAACGAAAGTTTAATGTTATCGCAAACTGATCATGAAAGTTGCACCCCGGCTTTATCACCAAGAACTACCAATTGAAAACCAGAATTTCATCAATCAGTACGAGAATACCACTGCAAAGACCGCGATCTGATGAAACAGTAATTATAAGAGTATTTCAAGTTTGATATTAGCATGAATAAAAAATTATTAAATTATTAATTAAATAATTTTGCGAGCAATATCCTTATGTTTGAGTAACTCCAAAAACCCAGCAATATTATTATTAACTAACATACTTTAATGTTGCGAAATTTCTATTTTGGCCTATGATACTTTAAGTTATAAATTTTGTTGTATTTTGTTGTACTGGAAACTATATTCACAAACCTCCAGATGGTATTAGTATTAACTGCAGCCGGACAAACAACTTTAATAACGAACATTTTATATAACAAAAACAAAAAATTTCTTTTTTTTTTAAAATTTCGAATAAAATTTTTAGGGTGCATCTTTATTTAATGTCCCTTTAAAAAATTTTTTGATCAAACAAAAAAAAATTTTTATTTAAAAAAAAAAAAAATTGTCAATATGGGTAGAGTAAGTAATAAATTATATTTTTTTCCAAACAATAAAATTTAAGCTAAATAATAATAAATGATTATCAATGAATCTATGTAGCTACGTGAATATCAAGTAATTGGTCGTAAGTTACCTAGTAAAAAAGATCCAGCTCCAAGACTTTTTAGAATGAGACTTTTTGCTCCCAATGAAGTTGTAGCTAAAAGCCGTTTCTGGTATTATTTGACAAAATTAAGAAAAATAAAAAAGGCTGCTGGTGAAATTGTTACCATCAATGAGGTAAATACAACAAAAACAGCAACAATGATGAATTTATCGATTGATTTTAGTGATTAATAAAGAAGCAAAGAAAAAATTAAATCAATCGATTATTAATGGTAAAAATCATCCTGTTATTTCTTTCTTTCTCTTTATTTAATTAGATCTTTGAAAAAAGACCATTACAAATTAAAAATTACGGCATTTGGCTTCGTTATGATTCCAGATCTGGAACACATAATATGTATAAAGAATATCGTGAACTGACTAGGTTAGATGGAAAGATTAATGTTATTATCAATTATCATTAAAATGTTACTAAAATATTAAAAAAAAAACAAATTTTTTTTTTAAATATTACAGAACAGATGCAGTTTCTTCAGCATGCAAGTCATCTTTATATAACTATTAAATAGATTTTTTAATAATGAATAAATAATAGTAACAATAATAATAATATACATATATTTTGTTTATGTGAATTCATTAATAGATCAAGATATGGCAGCTCGTCATCGTGCGCGATTCTCATCCATTCAAATATTGAGAATTGCAGAAATTAAGACTTCTCAAGTAATATTTTATGGTTAATTTTTTTTTAAAAAAAATAGATATATAAAATATTTATATTGTCAAATTTGTTTTTCTTTAATATAGGTGAAACGTCCATATATTAAACAACTACTTGAAAAGAAACTTAGATTTCCTTTACCTCATCGCGTTATGCGGTCCGAAAGAAAAACCAAATTCTTGGCAAAACGTCCTTCAACATTTTACTAAATTATTATTATATTCTATGGATTGTAATTTATAAATTTATTATTATCATTATCATCAATCGCTATCATTTGTTATTTTAGAAAAATAAGTAAATTTTAAATTCATGAAATATATAGTTTAAAATTATAAAAACATGGGTTTTTTTTCTACACCATCCATAAAAAGATATTTTTTGATCATTCATAATAATTCAAATAACAAAGATCTTTATTTTGTTGGCTATTCATTATTCTCTTTTTCAACAAAATTTTAAATTCATTTTTATAAACACTCGAAAGGTTAGAACATCCTTTGGTAACTCTTCAAGACTATCTCTTTAGAAATATATGAAGGTGTACTCTACCTTTATAAAGTTTACACGCTCAGATTCTATCACATACCAGTGGTTATTATGTACATTTTTGAGCCATTGATTTTCCCTAAAATTTTCGGAAATTAAAACGGTTTTTAGACGTCGATGATCAAGTCACGTACGAGACCGTGCCCTTAATATTAACAGTCATCGAAAAAATCGATTTTACAGTTTTTACAATAAATCTTCTTCCAAATTTGTAAAATAGCTGGGGCACTTTAGTCAGTAAAATCATCCCACAAGTAACCTGGAATAACTAACTCTTCTTCAATAACATTTATAGAAATCAAAATCAAATAAAAATTATATTAATATTTTTTGGCTATTTTTGAGATGATAATGCCAGTTACATGTAAGTTAAGATGTAGAATATTTTTAGCTTAGAAACATAACATGTTTACTTAATAAAAATCAAGAGATATTAAACTGTTTCGGATAACATTAACATTAAATCTTTGAAAGATCTGCAATTTTTGAATCCCATATTAAAAATCTTCACTAGAATGATATTGAAGAGCTTTTTCATGTACTTTTTTATTAAATCATTCATAAAAACATTTGATTGATGGAAGAATATCTGCCATTGTCCTATCCCCCATTGAACAACAAAAGTCCCAAATTATCAATTTCGTCTAATACTAAATTATCTTTTCTAATATAGACATAACTGTAGATAGGTTTTCAATATATTTAAAATCATTTGACTTTAAAAATAATTCTGGTCATAAAGTAAAGTGAACAATTGGTGTCTATAATTTAAATCTTGTTTGTAATTTCGTTAATTCAAGAAAGCTCAACAATTTCTCTGGATTGAATTATCTACATTCATGGTTCCATTGTAAACATTAGATTTTATAATCATTAAAAGCACTTCAAGTACATTGGAGATGTGTTTTCTTTTTCATACAATTGTCAGGATCCTAGTTCTCTCTCTCTCACCAACTTAATCTCTGCATCATAAAAATCTGTTTTATCTAAGAACTTGATCAAATCATTTACAAGTTTTCTGATATATTTTAATGGTAAGTGTCCTTGTTGGAATTAATAAGGTTGTTAAATAATAAATTTGTCCTCTGTGATGGATGGAAAATTTGGTGATAAATATAAATACATAAATGAATGTAACCATTGTCACAAAAAAATTTTGAAAATTACGCGGTTAAAAATTTTTTTTTAAACTATATTTGTTTCGAGAGTATATATATATGACTGACCTTCGAGTAAATAAACCAAAGTTTTTTACCACAGCAAAAAAAGGTAATCTCTTGACGTATAAAACTTGTCGTACAAAAACAAATTTTTTTAATTCTAAAAAAAAACATCTTTTAAGGTGAAAACTATGAGCTTCGAGCTGATCTTAACAGTGAATATCGAGATCGTCGTAAAGATGCAATTAAAAAAGTGATTGCTAATATGACAGTTGGAAAAGATGTTTCGGGATTATTTCCTGAAGTTTTAAAAAATATGCAAACAGAAGATTTAGAACAAAAGAAACTGGTATATTTATATTTGATGAATTATGCAAAGACTCAACCTGAGTTGGTTATTTTGGCTGTAAATACTTTTGTAAAGGTATTTATAATATGTAATAAGTGGATTTGATAAGTTAAAACCTTATTTTCATACGCTCATTCCGGTCACAGTCAGTCACTCAATTAATTAATTAATTAATTAATTTATTTTAATTAATATATGCACATCTAAAAGGACACGGATGATAGTAATCCATTAATTCGTGCACTGGCTATTAGAACCATGGGATGTATTCGAGTAGAAAAAATTATTGATTATCTTTGTGAGCCATTGAGGAAATGTTTAAAGGTGATTTTTCCAATTTTTATTATTATAATTGTTATCGTAACAATAATAAAAAAATTTTTTTTTTTGATTATCTTTTGATGATAATAAATTTTTTTTTTTCGAAATTTAACATGAATAGAAAATATTCTTCTTTGTAGGATGATGATCCTTATGTTAGAAAAACTGCTTCGATTTGTGTTGCTAAATTATATGATTTAAACCCCGAGTTAGCTATTGAAAATGGGTTTGTTTCCTTGCTACAAGACATGGTTTCAGATTCAAATCCAATGGTAAAGATGGATAATGATGTGTATTTGCTCATTCATTTATTCACATAGTATTTTTAAATTCTTTAAATTATTTATTTATAATTAATAATAATAATAAAGGTTGTAGCTAATGCTATAACTGCACTTGCTGAAATAAATGAGGCATCAACTACAAAAGATTTATTTATTATTAACACATCAACACTTACAAAATTATTAGCAGCATTAAACGTGTGTACAGAGTATGTATTAATTTATCATTACATGTATACATATTTTACTACTTATTATATTTATTAGTCTAGATTTATTGGTTAATCAATTTTCATAATATATTAACATAGATGGGGCAGGATTGCTATATTAACAGCATTAGCAGATTTTAAACCAGCTGATAGTAAAGAAGCTGAACATATAGTTGAACGTGTTATTCCACAATTCCAGCATGCTAATGCAAGTGTAGTATTATCAGCAATTAAGGTATATCTGAAAGTTTCATTTATATTTTTTATTGTCGATGGTTTATCATAATAATTATAATTATTATCATATAAATATTAATAGGTAATAATAATTTACTTGAGAATTATAAAAAATGATGAATTAATCCGACAATTAATAAAAAAGATGGCACCACCTTTAGGTATATTTTGCGATTTACAATCATCGTCATCATAATCATCATCTCTATTACCATTACTACTTTCATAATTATTAACTGACAAAAAATTTATTACAGTCACATTGTTATCCTCGGCCCCAGAAGTGCAATATGTTGCATTAAGAAATATAAACCTTATTTTACAAAAACAACATGACATTTTACAAAATGAAATTAGAGTTTTCTTTTGTAAATATAATGATCCACCTTACATAAAATTGGAAAAATTGGAAATTATGATAAAATTAGCTAGTGAAAAAAATGTAGACCAATTATTATCTGAACTAAAAGAGTAAGGAAGGAACAAATAACTAATAATTTAATAATTTATCAAAAAATTTATTTTAGATCAATACATTAATATATTATTCTTAATCCTTTATTATAGATATGCTTCTGAAGTTGATGTTGATATTGTGAGAAAATCTGTTAGAGTTATTGGACAGTGCGCAATTAAAATTGATGAGACGTCTGAAAGATGTGTTAATGTTTTATTAGATTTGATAAATACAAGAGTGAATTATGTGGTTCAGGAAGCAATAGTAGTTATTAAAGTAATATATTTATTGTTAAATTACATTTTATTCTGTAATATTGAAATATTATCATGTAAAATAATAATTTTAAATGAATTTCAAATAGGATATATTCCGGAAATATCCTCACAAATATGAGGGAATCATTCCAACACTATGTGAAAATTTAGATGCATTAGACGAACCAGAAGCAAAGGCTTCGCTTATTTGGATCATCGGAGAATATGCTGAAAAAATAGAAAATGCCCATGATTTAATTCTTACGTTTTTGGATACTTTTCGCGATGAAAGTTCCCAGGTAATATATTTATATTCGTTCGTTCGCTCATATATATATATATATATATATATTATTTATTTATTTTAAAATATTTTTGAATAGGTACAATTACAACTAGTTACTGCAACAATTAAATTATTTCTAAAAAAACCACAAACTACTCCAGATACAGTACAGAAAATGTTACAACTTGCGACCAAACAATGTGACAATCCTGATATTAGAGACCGCGCTTATATTTATTGGAGATTACTTTCAACTGACCCACAAGCTGGAAAGGTAAATGTATATTTATATTTATATATTGTGTTATTTATTTAATCATATATTCTTAAATTTTTTTTTTTTGGTTTAAATGATAAAATAGTCTGTAGTTTTATCTGATAAACCACCAATATCAGTACAAAGTAATTCAATGTCAGGGCCTCTTTTGGAGGAATTAATTAATAATATTTCTACATTGGCAAGTGTATATCATAAACCCCCAGAAACATTTATTGGAAAAGGTAGATTTGGAGCTGATGCTGTTCAAAAGAAAGCCATTGAGTGAGTAAAGGAAGTCAATGCTTATATTATATGGTTTTATTTCTTTTGCCAAAAAAAAATTATACTTACCATTGACATTTTTATAACTTTTTTCTCATTTTATTTTTAAAGGGAACAAGAAGAAGCTTCAAATGAATCATCTATTCGAATGCAAGTTAAAACTAACGTTGAAAATTTGTTGGATCTTGATTATGATGATAGTCCTATTAATGCAGCACCCGCAACAACATTTCCTTCAACAATAACATCATCATCATCAACATCATCAACATCTAAATCAACTACTAGTGCTAATGTTGATGATTTATTAGGTTTATTTGGAGATGATACCTCATCTACAAGCCAATCAACAACGTCAAATCCAAACAATAATAGTAATATATCAAATGATTTGGTTAATTTGTTTTAAAAAAATTTTTTTGGTTATTTTTTGAAATTTATAATTTATTTTATGCTCATGTATTTATTATTTTTAATGGAAATTTTTATAAAAAAAAAAACGTTAATATCTATTTATCTTTTTTATTATTTGATTTGTTCATTTTAGAATATATATTATTAAAAGATCTTTAATTATATTAGTATTGCATGTTTCTTGTAAAGAAACAATTAATATTACAAATTGAATAAATAATAACAAATAATACATTAAATAAAAATCATTAGTTTTAAATTTATCTAAAGCATTTTTAGATTTCTTATAGCATATCGCGCATTCTTTTTTAAAATTTTTCATCATCACAACTTCTAAATGGATCATTACAATAATAGTACATAATTTTTTATCAAAATTAAATTCTTTTTAGGCTAAAATTTTCCATCAAATGCCAAAGAATTCTCTGAAATAAAAATACAAATATGAAACTTTTACATCAAATCTACCATGGAACCAAAGAATTACAGTACATTCAGAAGTATTTAAAGAAAGAACAATGCCCTTTATATTTTTAAAAATAATGCCAATGATAATAAAGCAATAAAGAACTTTGGAAAATCAATCATTGAACGACTTTTTAACATTCAATCCTTTCAATGGCTTGTTTCAATTCTTCCATTTTCTTCACTCCATTGATTAATTTCTCGCCTTAATTCTAGGATGTCATTAAACAATTAATTTCTTCTTTGGGAACTCTTGCTATCTAATTGTTTTTATATCAGTTATCCATTATTACTTGATAATGATCTTGCTCAATGGCTAGGGAAGCAAATAGTTAAACAATAAATAAAATAAAGCAATGAAAAAAATCAATCATGGCAATTTATAAAATGATCAAAATTCAATTAATGAGAACAGAAGTTTACAACAACAATTGAATGAAAAGAATAGAGAAATAAGTGACTTGAAAAATGAGGTAACAAATTTAAAGCAGGAAATTGAAAACTTAAAAGTAGTCATTGAAATGGAGAAGAAAACCAAATTGAATCGACAACAAAACTAAAGCAACACCAAATATAAACATGACAAACTTATTAAAGAGGTCAAAAAAGAAAAAGGCAATACAAAAACCGATCATGAAATTTATCAAAAACCAATCAAAGCACAAAAGAAAGAAATCTAAGAATTGAAAACTAAACTTCAAGAAGCAAGACAACAACGTAATCAACAAAAACAGAAAACAAAAAAAGAGGGGGGAGGTATTAAAGGACATAAGCCAATTACAGACAACAAGTACCAACAAAAAAGATGAAAAATAAAAAATTTAGAGAATGATTATGATAATGAACTAAAAGCAAAAAGGGAAAGAGCAAGCAAATAATCAACAACTAGAGAATGATATTGCTCAATTAAAATAGCAACTAAAATATTTAAAAAAATAACCTGAACAGCAAAAACCTATTCAGGAACTTTAGAATAAAGTTAAAGAATTAGATATAGAACAAAAACCTAAATTAGAAAATTATTTAAGTTAACTGAACAAAAACAAAGTGGTAGTCCAAACTCAAAAATTAGAAGTGAAATTCAACAAATCAAATTAAGCTAGATAGAAAACCTGAACAACTGAGTGAAGGTAAAGGTGAAAGAAATGAAAGAAAAGCAAATCAAGTATATAGAAGTTGAAACATATAGAAGTTGGGAGAATTATTGATTAATGTATTTATTTTATACATTAATTGAAATAAATATAGATATTGTCATCCATAATAAACTATAATCAAGTATCAGCAAATGGTTTTGGGTTTATGGGTTTATCAAGTCAAACTTGTTATTTATTATTGATGTTATACAGGAAAACTTATACTATTTAGTAAAAAACAATGAATACTGATCCAGGAAAACGATTGTTATTTACTGACAAAAACGTCTTTGACGAATTCTATCATTGATGAAAAAGAAGCATGATAAATAATAATGATATGACAAGCGTATTTTTCTACATAAAAAAAATCAGATTATCATTATTAGAAGAAAAAGATGTTCACTAAGAAAAAGACTAGGAGGCATTTCAAATCTCATACTTCGCAAAGGAGCTGCATTAGATGTATAGTAAAAGAGATTATTCATGATCCAAGTCGTGGCGCATTCTCTTACGAAAATTCAATTTATCAAGCTCGTTAATATCAGCAAGTTGAGCAACAACCCATTTATTTGCTTGAAAGTTTTCTTCAGCATCCTTATAGTCTTGTGAGTTAGTATTCTTAAGTGAAAAATAACCCTTCTTGTACTTGGGGTATAAAAATGATGCCTAATTTGGACAGTTAATTGATGACAATAACTTTGTTGGCGAATAAGTTTTATAGATTTTGATATTCTATAACTAATACTATTCGAATCAATTTAATACAAATAAATGAACAAATTGATCTAAATGAAAATTTTAAATATAAATTGATCAGAGATTCGGTTTGTTGATTCTTATTTATAACAAGGTAGTCTGATGACAATTCTTCGATATTCTTTCAATGGGATTTGGCATTGTGTCTGATCTCGATGTAACCTAAACATCCTTCATCGAATTTTGTGTATTCACAAACAACGCGGTTGTCATTGTATTTAGAATCTGTCATATGTGATGTTTTTATAACAATCTCGATTTCTTAATATATATAAATAGGATTATATTAATAACAATAAAATTATTATATGACTATGGAACCTAAGAATTATAGAATTATTAGAAGTATTCTTAAGCAAGAACATGGTTAGAAGAATAATATTACCAGTATCCTGTATTGGCTTTGGGCAAGTGATTGATATCTTTAAATTGTTCTCTGACAAAAGAGACAAATATTATTGCAAAGATATGCTAATGTTCATAAGAATATATACAAACCATGAATCGCCTGAAAAGACGTACCATAATCTAGTTAATGGGAAATGTTGGTTGCTACACTAGATTAATAATAAGCTTTCCACTCCCAATTGTTTCTTCTATTTTTGTAACACCCATATATACAAGTAAATTATGTAATATTTACTGGATCGATTCATCCTATCAAATAAAAGTCTAAAGAGGATGTTAGTTAATCTGATATTTCCTGTGGCTAATTTAATATTATTTAATTGATGATTTTATTAAATTTACAGTAAAAAATTATTTAAACAAGAATACTTTTGAATCAAAACTACAAACTCGTATTGAGTTATTTATTTATATTCATGTATAATAAGCCTTTTGCTTTTTTTCAAGAACCAACTTGGCGAAGAGTTTAATTGTTTCCGTGCTGTTACATGCACCCTTTATCTCTTTTTAAAAAAATCTATTAATAGTAACGTTCTTATTTATTAAAATGGTAGGACGAGCCAAGATCACAAATATATATATATATTATTATTCTAAATTTTATAAATTATTAGAAATTAAAAACACCAAGTCTCACTACTAAACAAAGAAATTGTACAGTTTCAGTAGCTGAATAAAAATTCAACGCTTCTATCAGCAATTTTATATGATAGACAAAATGTTCTTCGAATTTACGAAGTGTTCTATCCTGATAATCCATTTGTATTATTGTTGTCATAGACTCAACTTGTGTTTCAAGTGACACGAGTGATTTTGTAAACTTCTCTGTATAGTTAGCAAATAAAACACATGTATATAACAGTTTTGAATATATCTATTATCATAGAAAAAAAAAGAGTATTTTATATGAGATTTAATTAAAGAGAGAGAACAAAATTATCTAATCAGATGTAAAAAACCTACTCTTAACAACTTGGCATTAGTTAGCATACATTCTTTAAGGCATGTATCTAAAAAATCCGAATGATATTTTAATACTTGATCTACTGTTGATGCCTATAAATATATGTAAATAATTATGAATAATTAATTAGCCAATTTGTTTAAATAAAGAAATCAAAAAATAATACTTTTTCCAAGCTAGCTTCCAGATTTCTCGATTGAGGTTCTAATACTTCACTAGTTACATAATAGATGAATTGTTGGACGAATACTATCATCTTTTGTCTAAGAGCATACAACTGTCCTTTCCATCCTTCAATGCTTGGATGTCCAGATCCGTGCTTCCAATAATATGATTTTGTATGTTCTTTCCACGTGTTATATAATAATTGTTCTGCATGCTTAAGATAAAATAAATGTCTGAATAATAATTGATATTTGGTAAGTGATTTACGTGAAATTACAAGCGATAATGGAAATGGTACAATGTAATCAAATGTAAGTGCTTCAATTCCTTCAATAGTAAAATAAATAAGACATTAATAAAAATTATTAAAAATTTTTTTTTAAAAAAAATCTTAATTCATATACAACAAACCTGTTAATAGTTGTTTTGTTCCTCCACTGCCACCACTACTACCACCCAACATACTTCCAACTATACTACCTGCCATACTACCTGCCAAACTACCTGCTACACTACCTGCGTATCCTCCCCCTCCTGGATTTTCACTACTACTACTACCACCACCATCCTCTGATCCTTCATTCTCACTCTCATCAACAATTTTATTAGTGTCCTTTCTAACTATAAAAGTTTCTGAAATGCGGTTTGATGCTTTTGATGTTGTTGGAATAGTTTCTATTGTACCAGCAATATTAATGATTCGTAATAATTGATCCACCAGACCAACGCTGCTCATATCAACTTTAAGATCTTCCTTGAATGGATCAGTGTAAGCAGCTGATGATGGGTTATGAATTACCAGGTCAAGTAGTGATTGAAGTTTTGTAAGTGATACTTGAGTTGATGGTTTTTTTAGTTCTAATGCGGCTAGGTCTAGAAAATGTGTTAAAAAATCAGATTGATCAAGAAAGAAGTATCGTTTGATTGAGCTATATATATATATATACACCATATTATATATACAAATTAACAAAATCAGATATATATATATATATATATTTCTTGCTATATTAGAAAGTGGAAATAATAGTTACAAATAAAGTAATCTTCATAATATCCAAAATAATAATAAATCACTTAAATACCGTAAACGTGCTATCAGTTGATGATCTTTCAACAATAAATCAAGCAAGGTACGATTTGCACGCTTATACGCAGTCTCTATATTTTCCACAAACCTTAAAAATTATAATAATATTAAAAATTACAATGTAATTTATTATTATTATTATTATTATTATTATTATTATTATTATTATTATTATTATTATTATTATTACTATGTTCTCACCTTCCACCGTCCATTGCGGTCAAAATATCATTGTTAACATTGACATCAGTTCTATCAACATTTTTTTTACCATTAATTGGATCTTCATCTTCAGAATTTTGTTTTTGTTGTTCTTGAATTATTGGAATTCCACATTCTCGAACCACATTAAGATACTTTCCTGCTAAAAGAATCTTGTATTTGAAAGGTATTAGAAATGGTGGAATTTCTGTATCTCTAATTGTATATCGCATCTCCCAATATGCATCATTAAAATCATCTTTAAGATTTTCTTTTTTGACATTTTTACGTTCTTGTATCATATATTCTTCGTATGGATCACGTATTTCGCCATGATGTATCCATAAATGTAACATTGTAACATATGGTTGCGATGATTTTGATAATAGGTACAGATAAAGTTTTTTAGCGGATGGATCTCTAAATTATTATTATTATTTGGCATTTATTTAATAATAAAAATTAATACTATTTATATGTGTGTATAGTGTTAAACAAAAAAAGGTTATTTGTTAAACCTTACCCACTCATAGTGGTCATTCTATCAACTAATATAGTCAGAATACCACCACCTTTAATTCTTTGTGGTATTGTATTAAGCCTAGTGAATCCATTAACCATCATCATATCAGTATCCTCTTCCATCGCATCTTCAGCTGCATCTTGTATTTCCAGTATCAATGAGTGAAGATTAGACATTGTATATAATGTGGAATGTACATGAAACCAAAATTTTTGAAGTGTAAATGTTGATTCTGTTCGAAATTGGTGTTCTAATTGATTAATCAGTATCAAGTATTCCTGTAGATTACATTTTTATAAATTGTTAATATTGGTATAAATTATGAAAAAATTATAATCATATTATTATTGTGATACCTTTAATATTTCACGCATCGCAGCACACAGAGCATGACTTACAAATCCATATTCAAATTTAGAATGAAGTTCAATAAATGCATTAATAGAAGTATAATAAGTTGCAAGTGGTAAAATACGCTCTGCCAAATCTCTTAGTGATGGATCTTTTAATATCAAAAAATATTATTATTATTAAATTTCTTGATCAATTTTTTTTCTTTGTAGAATATTACAATAACCACAAACCTAATGATAAATCTACTGAATATGTCAAACTTGGTTTATCGGTGAAATTATCCGTCACACTATTGGATTTAATGTACTTGCCATCAATACCCTTTCATAATACATAAAGTAGAAATGGATATAAAAGTTTTTATTATTAATTGAAATAACAATCTATAACAATAGTCCGATTTATCATACCATCATCACAAACAATAAATCTTCCATAATTGCATATTCTTGTACTTGCAAAGAAAGCAATCCTATTTTTAATTCTTTTTCATAAATATCATTTTGCTTTGTTTATGTAAAAAAAAAAAAATAGATATTAAAAAAATTAATACAAAAGTATTAAAAGTTTCAATTCCATATATATAGTGTTATACCCTTGTTGATGGTGGCAATATTCTAGAGTTTAATGGTGTGTCTATAAACCCTTGCTCATTGAAAAATGATCTGATGGCAGGTCCTGTTTTCTTTTGATTAAACATTTTCTTTTCTCCAGTTTTTTTTTTTAAAAAATAATTTCACTATCAGCTATTTATATATTTTTATAAATTGATGGACATTTTAATTTAAGAAATGATCATTGCAAAGATTTCTAACGTGTCAATAATTTTTCCGCGAAAATACAGATTTTTATTTACCAAATAAAAAAAAATTTTACAAAAAAAGAAATGTACCAAATTTACATTTTTATATTGTTTGTTTGACTATCACCTACTCAAATATAAAAATATATTATTTTTATAATTCTTTCTAAACCATTTTATAATTAAAAATAAACCTATTAGATCCAGTAGGTGAAATTGGTGTTAGCGGAAATGTCAAAGGAAGAAGTTTATTATCATTATCAATTTCCAATGAACCATAATGGTTTATCTTAGTTTTATCATCATCCATATTTGGATAGTCTGAAATATCCAATTCAACGGTTGTAAGATAAAGATTTTTCAATTCATCTTTGATTAATTTAATAGCCTCTTCATACTACACACAGATATGAGAAAAACAAATAAATTATTTTCATTATAAAAGCAAAAAAATAACATACAAACATATATAAACATTGACTAACCTTGATAAAATGCATTTGGACTTTTAAGAATTTTGATTTTCTTTGATCTTCCAATGCAACAACTTCAGATGGATTAATGGATTTTGATGGTGCCCATATCATAGAACGTAGTAATGGCCAGAGTCTTTCTTTTTCCATTAATGAGATAGGTCTGTTGATAAGATTGGGATATGATTGTATCAATGTGCTTATTTTCAAATTTAGAATTAATTCTACTTGTAAATCCACAACAAATAATGTTCCTGATGGAGGAATGATGGGTGCAGCAAGTGGATATCCCGAAATTTCAGTGTTCAGTTGAACTGTATACAATGGCCCTGAATATTTATCTTTTATTTCCATTTTCAAATATTCTGGTGTAGGAGGAAGCTCTTCAAATGCATTAAAACTTAACAATGTTTGACTGTTATCTATTAACACTTCTTTCACTTCTAATTCAAATATTTCTACAGGAGATTCAACTTTAATTTCTTTTATGATTTCATTATCATTATCATTATTATTAGTAATAGGATATAAATAATCTTCAGGATTTAAATGAAGAACTCTACATAATAATTCAACAATGTCTTTTCTACATTTAGCTAAATCTAAGGGCATTCTATTTTCAATATTTTTCTCACAAGGTTTAGCATTATTTAATAAAAGTACCTCCACAATACCAGTATGACCATTCTTGGCTGCATCATGAAGTGGTGAATTTAATTTCTTATCAGTGGCATTTATATTTGCACCCATTGCAATTAATATATTTACAATTTCATAATGACCTTCATATGCAGCTTCATGTAGTGGTGTACGTCCATGATTATCAGTAATATTGATTTTGGCTCCTGCTTCAATCAAATTTCCTACCATTTCTATGTTACCTTTCTTGGCATGAATGTGAAGCTGACTTCTCCCAGACAAATCTCTACTTTTAAGATCCATTCTTAAAATATCATTATTAGAAAACTTGGTTCTTACACCTCTATTTTTATTTTTCTTGATAATATTATTATTGTTGCTAATATCAATATTATTACTATTACCATTGTCATTTCTAGTAATACTGTTAGGGCTCGCTGTTGGTGATTTCTTTTGAATAGATTTCGGATTTTCTGATCTATTAAATAATTTTTTTTTATTTGCAAAATCTTTTGGTTCAAGTATAGAATTGTCATTTGCCTTCAAAATTGTAAGCCTTTTAGTTTGAACATCATCTAAATGCCATAATATCAAAATTTACCAATATTTAATATTTAATTAATATATATAAAACAATGATATATTTATATAAAATACTACCTCCACTTTCACCATTTACTGGTCTTTTAATTGAACTAAAGTTTGACTTTTTAACAGGTGTTTTAACAACTTCTACAGGTGTCCCCAATAATTTAATAATGTTTTTATTAGTTGTGTAGTCCCCAGGTTTTTTTTCATTTACATTAGTTTTTTCAGGGTCAGCTCCATACTCTAATAAAGCTCTAACAATATCTTCATGACCTTCAGCACATGCATCATGAAGTGGAGTATCCAATTCATCATATGAAATAGCATTAACTTCTGACCCATTTTCTAATAGAAAAAGTACAATGTTTAAATATCCATGATAGGCAGCCTCATGAAGTGAAGTCCATCCTGCATTATCACATGCATTAATGTCAGATCCTTTATCTACCAGATCTTTAACTCTGTCTAGCTTGCCTTCTTGACATGCTCTATGTAAATTTGTTTGACCAGCTCTATCTCTAACAAAAATATCATTCTTATCTATTTCATTTACTTTATAAATAAATTTTCGCTTATTACTATTAGAAAAGTTTTTTGTACTTTGAAATTTTAAAGATTTATTTATTGGAGGTTGTTTCTTTTTATTATTAGGTGATCTAGTCAATCTTCTAGTTTTTGTCACTTTATCTTTGTTATCATTTTTCATTTTCTTTTGTTTGACATCATCATTACCATTATCAACATCAGACTTTGATATTAATTGTCTTTTTGAAGGTGGTATTCTACTAAAACCTTTTTTAGATTCTGATTTTGTATTAACAGTAATGGAAATATGATAATCACCATCATTAATATTATAATCCCCATCACTACTGATACTACTAATACTATAATCATCATTATTGTCAATAGAATCAATTATATCCATACTTGAATTTTCCATGATACAGTCAAGAGATTTCGAACCAGTTAATTCATCACCAAAGTTGTTAAAAGTTTCTCCTAATGATCTCATATATTTAATACCATAATTTACAATATCATTATTATCGTTATCATCTACATCATCTTTATTAAAAGCTGGGAAATCAGTGTGTTCTGTTTCTGATTCATCACCTCTGACTGTTGCACAATCATCATCTGAATTAAAATGTTTATTCTCATAAATTTCCATGTCTACAAGTTTTTAAAGTTTTAATTGTTAATAATTCTAATTTTTTTCAAAAAAAAAAAGTTTATATAATGAATTCTATTTACTTATTTATTTATCTATCTATTTTTTTTAAAAAAAATTAAAAACTATAAAATGAGTAAAATTTATAATTATAAAATTATATAATTATAAATTAAAAAAATTTTTTTTAAAAAAGTTCTTATATAAATACTAAAAAAATTTTTTTTAATTGAGTTGAAAATAGAAAGATTGAAAAGAAATTATTAGTATTAGATGAAAAAACCAAAGAACATATACATAATAAATGCACTTTATAATTGGATACTCTGACAAATTACGTTGTGAAATGTTATACAAATTCTAAAACTGTATAATTTAGACTCTGATTGGCTGATTGGCAGATCTTTGTTGATGTAATTTCCACATAGAACGGTAAAATAATAAAATTTTATACAACAAGTTTTAAATTTGGGTAGGCTTTTTTTTTCCAAAATTAGTATAACATGCGAGCAAAGGCGATATGTAATACACAGATTAAATTGAATCTTTTTTTTAAAGATAAAAAAACATTATAAATGAGAGCATTAATGACTGTCTTTAGTCAAAGCAGATATTTATTTGGAACATTTACTGATTATATTATAATTACCAATTTATTTATTTCAAATTTGGCAACAAAAAACATTCAATAATTGAAAACAAACCACAAAGATAATAATCGATTCCTTTGTATTTAATCTCACGCACATAAAAAATTAATTCCGTAATTAAGCGATGCATGATGACATAGAACGGAAAATTAGTTTAAGCTGAGCGGAATTTCAAAGTAAAAGTAGAGAAAGTTTATTTCAATCATTTTTTTTATTCCAATTTAATTATTAATTAATTTTTTGAATCTGTAGATTATGAGTAGATATAGGTTAGACCTATGTATAAATGACAGAAAACTAATAAATATACAAAGATTTTAACACCTGAAAAAACAAAATCTGATATTTTAATGCATTAATTTAATAGTATAGAATGGCACTATAGAATATAATAAAATTGAATTACAACATCTTTTTCACCCTTTATCATTATTATTATCATCATCATGATTATTAGTCAAGAAGATAAATACGGTGATATCTCATTCCAGAAAGAAGATTTTCATCATTGACAGCACTACAAGCTTGGATAACCTAATGATGAGTTAAAACTGAATCTAATCAAGGTCTTAGGAAATAATTCATAATAAGTTAATATGTCCTAATATCAGCACACTATAATAATAAAAATTAATAAATATTCACCAGGAAGTTCTTTTTTATTTGAAAAAATTAACAATGATGCACCAGTTAATCAGATAAATTCAATTATTTAATTGAACATGATTAGTTATTAATTAATACATTGATTTATATGGTTGATTGGTTGATTAATTCACTTCTTGTAATAATACTTTTAATTCATCATCCAAATGTATTCAACTACCATCAGTTTGTTCAAAATAATTATACTAATAAGGCCTAATTGATTTTGTTCACTATATCAAAATATATGTAATTTTAAATCTATACAATATAATAAAATATTAGAATAAAATAAAAATAAAAATATACAAATAATAAATGTCCAATGTCTTAAATAAATAATTCAATTTTAATCTTAATAATTTTAATTTAACACAATTATTTAATTGAAATTTATTGTTATTGTTTTTGTTGCTATTATTACAATTTCTACTACTTATAGTACTAACGATCTTATCTCTTTCTCTTTTTGGAGAATTTTTACGTAAAATTCATAAAAGTTCATCTAAAAATTTTTTTTTATAACAATAACTTTACATTGCATATTGATCAAAAAATAAATTTTAATTGGCTAGATTTTTATATGGGCGTAACAAACAGCCTTTTTTTGTTACTAGTAAATTATCTGCCGCCGAAATTAAAAAGTGCCGAAACTAGTTTTTAATAATAGCTGAAACTAGTTAAAACCAATTTTCAAGTGAACCATGCATGGTATAATTATTTTATGGCTATTCATATAAAAAATATTGAATCATTTCTAAAAAAACAGTTTAAATAAAACTATTGGCTAGATGCAACAAATACTTGACAAACCACTAAAGTTAAGAGAACAATCAAGCATCTGCACTTAATGCTTATGCTACAGACTAACCGGGATATTAAACTAATAAAATTATAAACAATGAAGTTACCAAAGAGAGTGCAGTGAATTTAGTATATCATGAAGAACATATAATAATAAAATTTAACATGCAAATCTGGAATCCGTTTAAAAAAATTCATATATTCCAATTAAAAAAAAGTTGCACACATTTTTTTTTTAGTATTAAATATATAATGTTATAGACTCTGATTTACAAAAGTAATATTTATTTTTATCATCCCATTTATTACAAAAACAACGAATTTGCCAGAATACTGTTGTCAATTTGAAGAATTTCAAGTGATGCTGTATCCAAATTATACCAAAAACTTAATCCTAATTCAACAAGAAGAATATCTGGAGTTGAGGTTTTAGGAATAAAATTATTCAAGAGTTATTTTATTATTAAACATTGAATTTAGACCATATTCAATTCAAATAGAAAATAATAACTTATTTATTTGTGATCTAAGAAGTTCAAATAACAATGAATTATGTACCTTTAATTAATGATAAGTTTATGGTTTGAAAATAATTTGCTTAAAAAAAATAGACCAAATGATGCTTGGAGAGAAGTGGGAATTCTAATTAAGCTTGAAGGTAAAAAATTGCTGGTTTAGATAATAATATAACAAACTAATTTTAGATGAATTGAAAGCTTGGACTTGTACACACCAAAAGAATTGGAGGATGAGGAGTTGATGCAAAAAAATATTCCTAAAAAAAAACAATTGTAAATATAATTTTTTTATCAATGGTATAAACAAACTCTAGTATGATAGAACTTTGTTCCTCTTTAGGTCATAAGTTTAATGATACAGAAGAGATAAAATCACAATTTGATGCCTTTTTTTTTGATAAAGCTAATGTTGCTGGTGAGCTCATTTAAAGTTGATCCTAACCTAAATCACCAATATTATATTTGCAAGATCAAAGCAATCTTTGCAGGAAAAATACCCAGAAATATATCCAAGTGGAATTTCAGAACAACTTTCATGTTTCAATTACAAAATGGTAGATATAAATATAGAGATGACTTAGGTGGATTGTGTTCAATTTGTTCTGATTATGGATATGGTGTATTTGACAATTTAAATAAAGTTATAATAAAATATATAAATGACAATAGCATTTGGGTAATTATTTATGATAAAAATGATTTTATATTAATTCATTTACAACTGCTAATTACTTACATCATCTCTAACAAAAAGGATTATCTGGATAAATTCAATTAATTGAAAGGCATATGAAAATGAAATAAATACTAATATTTATGATAATGAGAACTAAAACATACATAATGAGTATCTTGGTCATTGTTTATTTTATGCTTTTGGTATATGTGAAAAAGAGCACAATTTTAGATGCATGAATTGTCTAAAGTTTTTTTAAAACAATTCCATCATTGCCAGCTCATGGACAAAAGTTTGTATTATTATTTAGCACATCAAGCAAGAAAATATTATTTAAATATTCCAATTTAGATCAAATTTGTTAGAATTAGATGATTATAAAAATGAGAAAGGGCAAAATGCATGGTTTACACCACCATCACTAAATGCAGTTTTGAAACCATGACAAAAAAAAGCCAAAATGGGTAACAATCATTTCTGATAATGGACCTCATTATCATAATGTTAAATTTATCATGTTGGAAAGATTGGTATAATACCACACAATTCATACAATGGATTTTTCTTGAAGCTGAAACTACAATTAACTCTCATCATGCTCAGGCAATTAAATTTATTTTAATAAATATTATTTTTGCTTTTTATAGATTACCATTTAATTAGAAAGTACAGAAGATATTGAATTGGCCATTAAAGATTTACAAAATACCTCTGTAGCAAATATGATACCAAATATAAGAAGAAAATAAACACAATACAGGTACATCCAATTGGTTTAAATGGAAAGAAGGTCAATATGCTGATTATATTAGAGCTAGATTTTTGCCTAATATTGGTGAATGGAAAAATTTTTCCTGGAACAAATTCAAAAATTATCAAAAGTAGAAGTTACTAACCTCAACTGCAAATTTATATCCCAATCAAACCAAATTTATCTTGGATTTCATCAATTTCTAAAAATATTGGTAACTGGTTGTCTTTAGAAATTTTCTATCATTTTAAATATACAAAATTTTTTTTTACAATTGAAAAAAAAACAAAATTAAATGAGTTAATAAATAACATAACAGTCTATATAATCAAATCAAATATTGGGAGTCTTTTAGAATCCATTAATCACTATTACGGTCAATCCCCCTAAATGCACTCCCGTGACTTTCACGTGATTTTATGCATTGTTAATCGTGTAACCTTAGAAAATTTTTAAATTACATGTTGTCAAAATTAATTTGGCTTTGATTTAATTCCAAAAATCTCAATTTTTAATTGTGTCTTGACTTATTTTTTCCATATGACTCAATTAATTGCATCAAAAAGTCACCAATTGAGTCAAGTGTAAGCATGTTAGCCAAAGTTAGCTCTCTTAATAAATGATCATCACTGAATCTGAAATAGTTTTCCATAGGTACCAAAATTAATTTTATTAGGTGCTAAAATTATATCTGAAATTATTTGGATTCTTTAACTAAATATCAAAAGGCTGGATAGATTTTTTATGTCTATTGATATAAAGAATATTGTAAATCCAAAATTGATATTTTCAAAAACCATTTTGGCTAACATCCTTAGAAACCTATTTTTACCATAGTTAATGAGTTTGGAAACTGTCCATGCAATGAACAAGCAAAATCAGTTAATTATCTTGAAAATATATTAACTTAAAAAAAATAAATACAATGGAACAAATTCCAATAGATAGATTCATGTCTTGAATTTTTTTTGTAATTTAAAAATTTTAATATGTGCAGCTTTAATTCCCTAAATGCATGCTTCCACCCATTCCCAAGGGGATGCACTTAGGGGGTTGAGTGTACCTATCATTAAATTACAAGATATTTTTTTTTATTTAATTTTAAACAGTGTTTTTGAAAAAGGACAAGTATTAAAAAAAAAATCAAATTTTCAAACAATTACCCATTTTACAAGATTGTTTACACAGGTAATGTTGATAAAAGTATTGTTATAATGTTCAAAGTATGTGTTCTGAATTATTGAAAATGAAATAAATCAAGAATCAATTCCAAGATGCAAAGTTGGATTACTCATTATTCTGCAACATGCAAAATTGAATCATCAATTTTTGATATAACAATGCAGATAGTTATAACAGTAATTATCATAATTATTTTATTTTGTTATTTTGAATTCAGAGAATACTTATTCATTGCTTTTATAATGTTATCTTTTTCAAAACAATAATATAAAATTTAAGCATATGAATTTTATGTGGAATCCACAGCTGCACAAGAGTAAACTATTTATTTATTTTAATATAAAAAGAGAAATTTAGAAAAATCTACGGTTTTGCATAATAATGGTAATCATGTACAGTGACGTAAATAGTTTTGATATAATTAAATATGAAAAAAAAATCATGTACAACTCTTTGTCACTTGATACATTTTTTAATTATTATTTATTACACAGGTAAAACTCGATAAGATGGCTGGGCATGATATCGAGAACACGTAACTTTAAATTATTTATATTACAATTATAGTGTAAAAAGAGAGACAAACAGCCCATGCGGACAATTTCCGAAAGGTTACATCTTTATCGCTCAGTTCGTAGGGATAGAGCCTCAGCTTCATATAAGAGGGATATCCCCCCTTATCAATCTTATCGATCTTTATTGGTCGGATAATTCACTCAAGATCTACGGACCAGGTGATCAAAGATATATCCGTGCATTTATATTTATCCCTCGCCAGGCTAAAGCATGCATCCCTCTGAACACAGGGATAAAGATCACACCTACTCGAAAATTGTCCGCATATGCTAAATAAATATCATGCATGTTTTCTACTGATCTTCATTTTAAATCTCTTAAACCCGAAACAAATGAACTGTCTACTTTTATGTCATCGTTTTTTTAGTTATTGGAGTTGTGTCGTCTTCCTCTTCTTCGTTCTCAGGAGCCTTTTGGACTGCTGCATATTTTATTACAAATAATAATTTGCCAATGACACATGTTACTAAAAATAGATGACTTCTCTCAATGCAATATCGTGTGAGACTGTGTCAAGAGTAATTTGTATATACCCTAGAAGAGGGGTTTGTCGGCTTACAGCCTATTACGATTTTATATAGATTGACCAACTTATCAAGAGATTTTAAAGGCTGAAAACTTTTGGCCGAGTTATCAAGAGACCGACTTATCGAGTTTACCCGCGTATTATGACAATTGAATTTTGTTAATATTAATGAATTCGTTAATAAGTATTCATTCTTATGATCAGAGTAGGGTATTATTTATAGCGAACAGATTTGATTATTTCTCAAGTCAAAACTTGTTATTATTCATATTCAAAAAAAGTTATTGTTAAAGTACACAGAATTCGAGTTGTTTATATACGTAATGTTTCATTAGAGGACTGCCCTGTAAAAAAAACTGATCTGTGACTTGAAATTCTATGCTTTCTCCAGAAATATATCATATCATGGAAAGATTACAGAGGAAATATGGACTTTGTCACTGTTGCAAATTCGTGGAAATTTCCAGGAGTATTTATGGAATTTAAATTCAAATAACGGACTTTTTTTTTTTATAGAGCTGCTCCTTCGACTAAGTTTACATTGACAACCTTGACGATGTTGTCTACTAAGTCTAGCATTGCTCCTCGTCAATTTAGTCAACATTGTAGTCTTGGTCAACAACACAAATTAAATAATACGCACGTCCAATACAATATGACAAAATCTTGATAAAATAATAAATAATTAATAAATAATAATAAGAGGGATCAATATTTCCGTGTACATTATTAATCCAAAAAGTAGATGGGTTGCAAGAAACTTGCACTAATTTCAAACAACTCGAAATCTTATTGCCTCGAATTCGAACTATATTTGTATTAGTATTAGTATTAGTATTAGTATTTCTCTATTCCTATTTCGATTCTATCCAAACACAAACCCCAATCTCTATTTTTGAAATATTGATGATGTGCGAGTTAAAAAGTCATGAGATACAAATAAATTTATGAATAAATAATTCTCCCTTATTGTTATAATAATAATTGCCAAATTTCTATAGAAAACCCCCCAGTTTTGGAAATGTCTAATTAACCCAATTAACCAATCAATTAACCAATTGGTCATTTCCCTTCTTCTTCATGTCTATTTTTGATTAGATTAAAAAAATTTAAATTTAATTGATTACAATTCAAAAAAATCAAAAACTAAAAATTAAAAATTAAAAATTAAAACATAATCAAGATGTCGGTAATGTCTCAAAGTAAAAATGCAGCATATGATTATCTTATTAAACTTCTGTTAATTGGGGATTCAGGTAAAATGCTTTTTCCTATATATAAATAAACAAATTTTTCAATGAATTTTTTTTATTTAGTCGTTAATTTATCATTTGTACTTTGTATCAAAAAATAAGGTGTTGGAAAAAGTTGCTTATTACTTCGGTTTTCGGATGATTCTTTTACACCTTCTTTTATAACTACCATTGGAATTGATTTTAAGATTAGAACGATTGAATTAGATGGAAAACGAATTAAACTTCAAATTTGGGATACTGCTGGTCAAGAACGTTTCCGTACCATTACCACAGGTAACTAACTAAACATTTACTAATTTACTAAGGAACAAAATAAAGTCATTACTAGATTTTCTAAATAATGAATGAATGTATTTATTTATTAAGCTTATTATCGTGGAGCAATGGGTATACTTTTGGTTTATGATGTTACCGACGAACGTTCATTCAACAGTAAGTGTTGATAATGAGAGAAGTATTTTTTTATATTTAATTAATAGTATTAATAATAACAATCAATTATATACAATTATTTCAGATATAAGAAATTGGTTTTCAAATATAGAACAACATGCAAGTGAAGGAGTCAACAAGATTCTCATCGGAAATAAATGTGATTGGGTTGAAAAAAAAGCAATTGCCAAGGAACAAGGACAAGCACTTGCTGATGAATTTGGAATTAGATTCTTGGAAACTAGTGCTAAAGCTAATATTAATGTAGAAGAAGCATTTTTCACTTTAGCTAGGTAAATATTGGTTGAATCAATATATTATAAATTTTTATTTTTACTTTATATTCATACATAAATATGTACTAATATTATTATATATAATAGAGATATCAAGAAAAGACTTATAGATACTCACACACATGAGCAGCAACATAACCAAAATAAGAGAATTGAATTGGAGAAGAATAATGTCAAATCCAACACAGGATCGAGTTGTTGCAATTAATATACATATTTATTCTTATTTTTTTATTTATTACAAATAACTAATTATATTAGATATATAGAATCTATTTTTTTGTTTTTTTTTGTACTTTTACCATATTTTTTTTGTTTGTCAATAATATGTATATTTGTAATTGAATGTCAAAAATGGAATTTGTTATTATGTTGTGCTGTTGCTAGGCCTTATCAAAAGAATCATCGGGTAAAAAACTGCCATCAATTTTCTGATTGTGAATACAGGGATTGACATAGCATGTACGGATGATCTCGATATGCACACATACATCAATTATTGTCATATGATTCTAACTATTTTTTTATAATAAAGTTGAATTAAATGTGATTTTCAATAAATATTTCAAATGAATTTATAGCACGTGAATAAGATGTCGTCATCCGAGTAAAGTCATTTATAAAGATTTTTTTTGAATTTATTTTTTCGAAATAAAAAATTTATCTTCTTTCCCATCACATTAAAAGAAATGGCACCCGCAGAAACTATCATGCAAGAAAGTCATATTGATTCAAAAAATAATATAATTACAATTGATCCATGGTTAAAACCTTTTGAACAATCCATAAACAGAAGGTAAACAATTATCTAATTGCTTTTTAAATTATTTCCAAAAATTAAATTTTTAAATTATTCCCAAAAATTAAATTTTTAAAATATTTAAAAATTGATATAGATATTCAAACTACAAACAATGGATCGACAATATAAATAACAACGAAGGTGGCTTGGAAAAATTTTCACGTGGATATGAAAAATTTGGTCTTAATGTACTTCCAAACAATACCATTGTCTACAGAGAATGGGCACCTAGTGCAAAAGCTGCAAGTCTAGTTGGTGAATTTAGTATGTAGTTATTCAATCATTCAAGCATTTTGTCTATTAATTGGTTAATTGATTAATTGATTAATTGATTAATTGGTTAATTGGTTAATTGGTTAATTGGTTAATTGGTTAATTGATTAATTAATCATTGATTTGATCATTTTTTTGTTAGATAATTGGGATGTTAAAGCCCATCCAATGAAAAAAAATGATTTTGGAGTTTGGGAAATTGAGATTCCTCCAAATAATGATGGTACTCCAGCAATTCCACACAACACTAAAATAAAGGTAAATCCATCAATAAATTCATTATTATTATTATTATTATTATTATTATTATTATTTGTTCATTCATTTCTTCATTTCTTCATTATTAATTTATTATTAATTTATTAATTTATTTAATAAAAAAGATTTCAATGACCACACAAAATGATGAATGTATTTATCGAATACCAGCATGGATTAAACGCGTGACACAAGATTTATCTGTAAGTGCAACATATGATGGCGTCTTTTGGAATCCTCAAAGTAAATATGAATGGAAAAACAATTTACCTAAAAAGCCATTAGGTTTAAGAATTTATGAAGCACATGGTATATAAATTAATTTTTTATACAAAAGTTTTTCTTATATTTCCTCAATAAATTAATACATTAATACATTATTATATTTTTATAAATATATATACAAGTTGGTATATCAACAACTGAAGGTCGCATTGGAACTTATAAAGAGTTTGCAGATAATGTATTACCTCGTATAAAAGATCTAGGCTATAATTCTATTCAACTGATGGCTATTATGGAACATGCATATTATGCATCTTTTGGATATCAAGTTACCAGTTTTTATGCTATCTCTAGTCGTTATGGTATTTAATATCATTAACATTATAATAATAATAAGATTAATGAACACTGGATATTTTCACAAAAATAAATATAGTAATGTTTCATTTTTTCATTTAATAGGAACTCCAGAAGAATTGAAATATCTCATTGATACTGCTCATGGCATGGGGTTGGCTGTGTACTTGGATGTTGTTCATTCGCATGCTTGCAAAAATGTTTTGGATGGCTTGAATATGTTTGATGGTTCAGATCATTGCTATTTCCATGAAGGAGAAAAAGGAAGGCATGATCTTTGGGATAGGTTATTATGATTAATAATATTAATTAAAAAGATATATATACACACACATATTGTTTTTAATGTTATTGAAATAAATTATTTGTTATCTATTTATTATAAATAGTCGCTTGTTTAATTATGGACATTGGGAGGTGCTTCGGTTTTTACTATCGAATCTTAGGTTTTATATGGAGGAATATAAGTTTGATGGATTTAGATTTGATGGAGTCACCAGTATGATGTACAAACATCATGGCATTGGAACTGGATTTTCTGGTGGTTATCATGAATACTTTGGTGATTCTGTGGATGAAGAAGCTATTGTATATTTGATGCTGGTAATTTTCATTATAGTCTAATAGAAATATTTTTAATTTTAAAAAATTTAATATATTAATATGCTTATTTAATAGGCAAATGATATGTTGCATCAACTTTCTCCAAATAATATGATTACAATAGCAGAAGGTAATCTTTATAATTAATATACCTTTATCTTTTTTCTATCATCATTGTTGTTATAACATTTCTTATAATTTCATAAAAAGATGTATCTGGTATGCCTGGTTTATGCCGTCCAGTATCTGAAGGTGGTGTTGGATTTGATTATAGATTAGGTATGGCTATTCCAGATATGTGGATTAAATTATTGAAGGAACAAAAAGATGATGAATGGAATATTGGAAATATTTGTTGGACATTAATCAACAGAAGACATATGGTTTATTTTTTAAAATTTTTTTAATATATTAATTTTTTTTTTTTGTAAATAAAATAAAAATAATAATTATAAATCTTTTGGAAATATTAACAACAAAAAAAAAGGAAAAAACAATTGCATATGCTGAATCTCATGATCAAGCACTTGTCGGTGATAAAACAATCGCTTTCTGGCTAATGGATAAGGAGATGTATACTCATATGTCTGATGTGACTCCTCGCACCCCAATTATTGATCGTGGAATTGCATTACACAAAATAATCAGGTATTACTTTAATAAATAAATAAATTATTTTAATATTAATTAATAATATATATTATTTAATTTAGGTTATTGACTCATGGACTTGGAGGTGAAGGATATCTTAATTTTGAAGGCAATGAATTTG